CAAAATCCGCCAACGTTGATTCTTTACTGCGGCTGAAATATTCATTTTTAGAGCGTTAGTGAATTAAAAGAAAGCAGTATAAAAACCGGAATGTCCAACTGGTAAGGCTGAAAATTTTTTCACTTGTTACTTACAGTAAGATAAATACAAAAATAGTAAATAGTGAATGTATTTAGAGACCGGATGCTATTTTCCTCACTGTCTGTGTAGCTGTGTCGAATGATTAATTAAGATAGTGTCATTTTTCCTGTTGATACCATTACGTCCATTTTAATTATCATTTAAGATTCTTTGCCGACACATTAGGAAGAGTTATGGTTTCCGTTTTATTCTTTGTTCAACTAAAAGCGCCGCATAAGCTGACCAAACATTTGTCGCTACTGTCGTTTAACGCATCGGTATTCAGCTATTTTTACGGATACTTTGGCAAGCGACATCCATCTTTAAATGGATGGATAAATTCTTCGATCTAGTCTGATCTCCAAAATTCAGATCTAGCAAGGAAATTGTTGCGGATGATTCGAAAAAGACACTATTAGGTATACTGTGCCAAGGGGGCACATGTCTCCATTTGTTCCCTAATGGCCCCCATGCTCACCTACAAGCATGTCTGTTTCTGAAAAACAAAAAAGGTGGAAAACCCTGAATCCCAAATGTTAAAGTTGTTCTTTTCTGGAATAAGTCCGTGGTTTTCAAATGAACAAACTGTATACGCATCCATTTGACTAACAAGTTCCTTTATTTTGATATCACAGCAGAAAGTAACTTGAACTATCGCAATGATAAATGCGTCTGAAATATCGCAGTTTAGATCTTCAAGGATGATACTATTGAATAATAACCCTGTTTTGAGCAATGCGCTTGAAATATGTCCCGTCTCAGTGTAAATAAATTATATCAAAATTAGATTTCGCTTCGTTAAATGGAGAAGGTCATATTATGACTTGCAGCCCGTTGAATGTAGTTTCACAGCATATTGTACTTATCTCTCTAGCAGATGCTGCAGTTGTCGAAATATGTTAGTTTATCGTCTATGTTTGTTTGAAAGCATGGAACAGAAAAGCGTATTCACGGCCGCACTGTGATAAATGTTTACAAGATATGGAATTCTACAAGGTGACCTGAAAGTTGGGACTCTTCAGCAACATCTACGTTTGTAATAGCAAAGCTAATGTGTGGTGAAACAACATCGACAAAGTAAAAAAAGTTCATCGGAAAAAATGTCACTTGTACGTATTGTTCAAAGTTCTCTGTGATAGATTCAAACACGTATGTATGTGCTCGACGTAGACAAGAATCAGTGTGGGCTTTTAGAATGGACTGGTTTCCTCGAATGCACGCAGCAGATTGATACCTTCTCAGTTATATGCATCAAATACTTTTTTTTCGCTCCAAATACAAAAGAAATCCCGAAGGATCTTAAAAAACGATCTGCACGCACTCTCGAAGCCTCGGAAGCATTTTGAAGGCGCTCTTTTTTTTTGTTGACGAAATTTTTATATACGAAATCGTATTTTCTGCTCGAATCCTCTTCTCTTTACGGATTTTGTTCATTTTTTTTTTATTCAGAGGTGTTCTGGCCATTATGCTACAATGTGTAGGTTGGCTCTTGTTGGTCGCTTCGTGTTACCTATTCTATTTTCAGCTTCTTTCTGCGGACATTTCCCATTATTTTCTATTTGTTATACACCGTTCTCCGCATGATCATTTCCTTTTTGTAGATTGTATATGAGGTATTCATACAGGCTACCGTACCGCATTTTACATAAACATATTTCGCTGTGGAACGCAGTGGGGAGGAACGAACTCGTGAGCGTGGGCATCCTGCAAGTAAATTCGATCCCCTGGAATTGTTTTGACTTGTGCCGAGAACGATAAAAGTGCGCTTAAGCGTCGCTTGCTCCCGAAGAATAGCTGAGCTTGGCTGAAATGTTCAAGGCACGCTGCTACTGAAATACGAAACCACTCGTCAGATAAATCGACGGACGATCTGTGGATGCTATATGAGGTCGTCACCCGATAAGTGGTATTGCGAATTCCGAAGTCATATGAATTTCTCTCTCGAGTTAAAGCAGTTTCTAAGTTAGTTACGAACATTAAACGATTCAAGTGACTCAAACTAGCCAATATAATTAGTCCATGACGCTATTTCCCTGTCCTACCGGTAGTTACTGTCTATCTGGCGACGTCGCCTCTTTTCGATAGCTGACCGCACGGCGCAGTAATGCCAGGACTCTCGCCAAAACCGGCACGCACATTTCGTCATCGAGTTTTAAGGGCAAATGTACGGAGAAATCTATGATGTGTGCATGCAACCTAAAAAACATCTTCAGAGATATGTTAAATATCAATACCAAATTTTTATTGTTAATTCAGTACCATCACATTTTAATTTCTGTAACGTTCTTTACAACCATTTTGCAGGTAACAATGATGTAAAAAGGAATCAAAAGGTTCAAAACTCATGGTTACGACTCATTCATAGAAAAGGCATTTCACATAAGTTAGTCGAAACACACTGGTTAAATATGAAATATAGACGAGAACTGTATACCTTTTATCATAATTGTGATGCCGTTCAAGTATTAAGTGAGCACTATGGGGGGGCGGGTGAGTCTTTGCTTTGCTTATTTTGGACGACATGGGGGGTAGGGGAGTCTAGATGATGATTACGTCATCGGTAGTTATTTACTTTTTTACACGAATGGCAACCCTCACATTGTCTTCGCTTGAAAACGAAACGCATTTTCGGGGATTCCCGCAAATAATGCATACGTTTAGTGAACAGCGCGCGGTAATTCCCCTACTCGCTTTAGAACCGTCTAAATTTCCTCTATCAGTGTATTGTTTCGTTCGGATACTATAGCGAGTAGACGTATTGTAAGCATAGTAAAGCAAGTTAACATTTGTGTTACCATTGATTCCATTAGCCAAAGTTTAATGTTTAAATAAGATGTTGTTCCACATAGACAAATCCAAGTTATACCAAAAATTGTTTGAAAGTTTTAAAAAATCTCAAACAAGTACGAAAGTACAAAATGTACAAAAGTTAGTTAACGAAGTGTGGCGAAATTACAAATTACAAGCAAAATCCGACAAGGAACTAGATATTATTGTATCTAAGAGAATCGAAGAAGAATTGCAAGCGGCGACTAAGAATAAATCCATTCTACTAAATTTTTTTTCTAAGGTGAGTGACGAAATCATTTTAGGTACCTATGAGTATTAGAAATATTAGAAATCGCCAAAAAGTTTCTCTTTACTGATTACAAAATATTATGGCCTATCTCAAAGTATAGAGGTAATATTCATTATATTATAGATTTATTTCTTATGATTGATTCCGTCAATTGGTCACAAAGTACAGGATGTTAGTTTTATACATATATACAGAAATCTAAGACCCTGTATTTTGTGACCGGAACGTATTGCTCGTTTAAACATATTAGATTTAATGCCATAGGGTTTTGTATTAACCATATATATTGCCATACTTTCTATTTATGTAGCTTAATAAGAGAATCCTTAGCAGAAGCGATAGAAAGTTTTTATTTTTAGGCAACCTGTACACCTGCAGAAAAAACACAAACTATACAGTCAGCTTCAAATATTAAAAAAGAGGAAGAAGATAAAATAAAACCCGGTAATGAATCACAACAGCAATGCGAAATTAATGAAAATACAGATAAACAGAGAGCAAAACCTTCTCAGGAAGCTATGAAAAATAAGATTGCTCTAGTCGAAAAAAATCTGAATGCTTTGTATTCTGTCAGAGATACTATGCCAAGCCGTGGTGAAGTTGATAAACAGATCATTAAGTTGCGCGAGGAAATAAAAACAGCAAAAGAGTCCTTAAACAGGAAGGTTCAAAACACAGTTGCCCAGAAGAAACACAGGGATGGTATGAAAAGAAAGTTGTCATGAAAATCCAGAAATAAAAAAAAAACTATCTCTGAGGGATTCAGTGGGTCGTCCTAATCTTGAAAGCAATCAACATTCACTATTGAAAACAATCGCGGATATAGTTTTATTTTGGAGTGCAGCAGATGATAGAAGACGAACGGAATCAATTCGCAGCGTAAAAACTCTTGATGAACTCACACAAGAATTACTTAAAACAGGATTTGACATTAGTCGCAGTGGGACATATCTTCGTTTGATTCCCAGAAAATCTAATTCTGCAGAGGGACGAGGACATGTATCGACAGTCCCTGTTAAGCTAATTGGGGCTCAAACTGATCACCACAAGAGCCACTTAGAAACATCAATCCATTATTTCGAGAACATAGCATCCATACTTGGACCAGATCAAGTATTTTTCATATCTCAAGATGATAAAGCTCGAGTCCCTATTGGCGTAACTGCGGCAAATAAGCAAGCACCTGTTCTAATGCACATGGAATATAGAATCAAATTGCCTGATCACGATTGGGTAATCGCTGAGCGTCGTAAATTAATACCATCTGTTTATGCTGGTATCAAAATCACTTCCAATATGCTAGGACAACCGCAAGCCGTTGGATATTCTGGACCAACATACATCGCTATTCGTAGTGGAAAGCATAGTTCATCTACTGCTAATACTCATGCTCAGGATTTCGAGACGCTTCTCGAACTTGAAGAGTTTCGACCATTAGCTAAAACTGAACATGGACTAGTAAAACCAGTGGTAATCATGACGGTTGATGGAGGGCCAGATGAAAATCCACGTTATCAAAAAGTCATATACAACACTTTAAGCGACATGATCTCGATGCATTGTTTTTAGCTACCAATGCTCCTGGAAGAAGTGCGTATAACAGAGTAGAGCGCAGAATGGCTCGTCTTAGTCGGGAACTGGCTGGTTTAATATTGCCTCATGACCATTTTGGGTCTCATTTGGATGAACGTGGCGTTACAATTGATGAACATTTATAAAGATCTAATTTCAAATTTGCAGGAAATGTATTAGCTGAAGTATTAAGTTCAATGCAAATTGGTGGCTATAATGTTAATGCAACATATGATGGGGCAGGTGAACAAGATCTTCCTGATTTTCCAGACACTAAATGGTATTCAGAACATGTGCTTGAGAGCCAATACTTGCTTCAAATTGTAAAATGTAGAATTATAGAATGCTGACGTCCAAGAAATGGCCTATTTATATTACTAGACAATAGGTTTCTTCCACCACCTGTAAAAGTAAAACAAACAGTTGATGACTTGGTTTTGGATGAAGGAGGGCAATTTCTTAATCTTCCAGTCAATTTAGCTCTGCGCTTAAAAGATTTCCTGCAAATGCCCTACGATTATTTTTGTCCGACAGTAAAATTGAGGCTATCAAGGCGAACATGCAAAACGTGTGGTCTTTATCATTACACTAAATCGTCACATCAAAAATATCCATAAAAAAGTAAACACGCACACTGATAGGAAAGTTAGACCTGTAAGCATGGGGGGAGGGGTAAGAGCTTTGCTTACCTTTTTGACAAGGGGGATGGGGGGTAAATAATTGTAATAAATCTGCTTACGTAATACTTGAACGGCCCCTTAAGCTTTCGACTCACCAAAAGCGTAATTGACTCAATACATATCTATCTATCTACAACACTTCCTCGCATGAGAAGTAACATGTAAAATTTTTACTTAGACTAGGTATAAACATTAAGAAAATAGTATGTTACGGCTTGGCCGATCCTTACCCATCATTTTTGGCATTTTAGTTCACTTTTCTAGTTTCAGTTGCAAAACAACGTACGATTCACCGAGTACCCGCTGGTTTATTTATAATAATAGATTCGATAAACAGGGAATTTCTGAGTATTAAATCTAACGAAAACAAGCCGACTGGCCGTCTGGTCATTGCTCAGCTATAATTAGCGATACATGCAAGTCGACGTTTCTAACATGACTCCAGCAAGTTTCAGATTTCCACAGCTGGCTTCTGTCTGTCTAGTTGTCGATTAAATACCGCCGGTTAGAACACGCGTTACTAGATGAACGCTCGCATTTCAACACCTCACGATCATCAGCGTTTCTTCCAAATATGTAAAAATGCTTACAAATCGCCGACAGTGTGTACCAGTTGTTACGAGTACGCAAAATGAACATGTGATAGAACACCTGTGCAACGTATAATGAATGTTTTTCGTGCTACTCCAGCTGTATCATACATAAAAAACGGAGTCAAGGAGGTTGACTTTGCTTCCGACGCTACGCTGTCCTCAGTTCGTAAATGATGTTTGGCACACGTTGGCCCTTCTGAGTAAAAAGTTGTGTAACAACACAGCCCACAGCAGTGCGGAACCGATTGCCGATTGGGACGTACGACCACCGACGACGACGCTTGTCCGTCGGGGGACCACGTCGCGCGTATCGACACCCGACTGTAAGGTAGTCGAAATTATTCGCGATTGCAATACTGTCAGTTTTGGTATAGGAAGTACAAATATATACTTAAAACTATTCATCCGGATTATCACAAAAAATCACGGTCTTTCACGTTTTCGTTGATGGCATCATTAAAATCATTACGTGGCCTACAATGTGATGATATTCGTCGTCGACTATACCTATTGAAACCATTTAATCAATGCTTATTATTTTTTTTTTTTCAGGTGAGTAGTTTATAACTCCTTCTCAGCATAACGCTTCTATAAGGTGAGTTATTAGAGTGATGTTCAGGGCACCCTAAAATATACAGGGTGGCGCATCGAAAACGAAATAGACGCATCTACTGGCAGCTCAGTTTTTTTATTGGAAAAACACTCAGACCCATCGATTTTGTTTTCGAGGGGGACACAAGTTTGGCAAAAAATCACGTTAACACGTGCAGCCCCCTGGGCGGGGGTGACATCAACCCTAAAATCTTAAATGGAAAGGAGGGTCGAGTGATACCTTATTTTAAAGGTCTTTCAATTCCCTTTATAATGATGTAAAATACATGAGCTTCAGTTCAGTAGTTTTGAAGATTTATTGATTTAAAGCTTAAAGTGGACTATAATAATAATAATAATAATATTTATTCACTCAATGTACAAAGATAACAAACAATATGAGTAAATAAATATAAAATCAAAACAGGCCCAATAGAAGGCATCGCCTGTACATGGACCAATAAATTTAAGTTGAAACTGTAGAATGCAAATGACAAAAAAGGACAAAAATTAGCTACAGTAGATTATGTATTTAGTTGATGTTCGTATTTATGAGTTTATGAATTTCAGTCCTAGATATAGAATGTAGCCACTTTTTTAAATTTCTTTTGAAACAATTTCCGAAACGTAAATCTTTTAAATCTTTAGATATAATTTCATAAAATTTAGGCGCCAAATAGAGATATGATCTCTGCATTATAGATTTATGCGGTTGAGGAACTACCGTGCCACGAATTTTGTACCTGGTATAATGATTATGTTTAATTTTTTGGTCGGTGTTTACAAATTTATGGTAGTGAGTGATACTGTGTAAGAAATAAAGCTGTCTTATATCATACATTCGAACATCTGCGTATAATTTTTCAGTGGGATAAAGTTTCGGTTTTTTAAATTTCATTTTTAGAATACTTTTTTGAAAAACATCTAAATTATAGATATGTGAGGAACATGCAGCTCCCCATGCTAATATACCATATGTGAGATGAGGCTCAATCAGTGCATGGTATAATGTTCGAAGATATTTTTCTGTCAATATATTCCCAAGGTATTTAATTTTGTAGGATACAAATCTAACTTTCTTTAAAATATAATTGACATGGATGTCCCATCGTAAGTGAGGATCCAAGACCACTCCAAGGTATTTTATGTTGGGCACTCTATTAATTTGCATTTTTTGATCATTAATATTGAAGGAGAAATTTGTGTAATTTGGCAGATGTCTAGCATAAGATCCAAATGGTAAAAAATGTGTTTTTAATGCTTAATTTTCTACTGTTAAACCACCGAATAATTTTGATAAAATCATATTCAATTACATTTTTCAGATCAGACCAGTCAGTGCCTTCATATAATATTGCAGTATCATCTGCAAAACTAGTTATTTTGCCAACACAATTAATTTGGAAAATATCATTTAAATATATATTGAATAACAGCGGACCTAAGACAGTTCCTTGTGGGACACCACACTTAATATACATTTCTTTACTAAATGATCCTGATATCTGCACAGATTGTGGGCGATTTGACAAATAACTTTCGATCAGTGAGTACGCGTTTCCTCTGAAACCAATTCTCTCCAATGCTTCTAATAATAATTTGTGATTAACTGTATTGAAAGCTTTCTTTAAATCAACAAAAATGCAGATTGAAGGGATTCTGTTATCAATATTTTGATGTATTTGATTTACAATTTTAGTTATTGCGTCCGATGTAACCTTCCCTTCTGTAAATCCATATTGATTTTCACTTAAAATTTTGAATTTTATGAGGTATCGAATCATTCTAGTAGATAAAACTTTTTCAAAAACCTTTGCTACACTGGATATTATTGATATTGGTCTATAGTTGTTAACATCTGTTTTTGTTCCTGATTTATGTATCGGTATTATATTACCTTTTTTTAAAATTGAGGGATATATGCCAGATTCAAAGCATTTGTTGATTAGGTAAGTGAGTGGTTCTGTTATGTCCTCGGCTATAATTTTCAAATGCTCGCTTTTAATACCATCGAACCCAGGACTTTTCCGATTTTTCAAGGACATAACAGTGGTGTATACTTCACATTGCTCGACTTTATCCAAAATAAATGAGTTCAAAGTTCTTTTTGGAGGCTGAGTATTTTGTACATTTGCATGTATATTACTTGCTAAATTTTCGCCTATGTCAGTAAAGAATTGTACAAATTCATCGCATATCTGGTATATATAGGTACATCAGATTAATTTGTACTACTTTCAGAAGAATTTACTTAATAAATAAATGCTTTTGTTGTTGAAAATAGCTATTGGAGCGTTTTTTTTGTGGCAAACAAGTTATTTCTTGAAGAACGATAAGGAAATATCTCGTACTTACTTTAAATAGGAATTTAGTACATAGTTTGCGATTGATTTGACCAGACTTTGTTGCTACAATAACTTGTAACGCTTTATTACATAAATTAAGTCATGGTATATTCCACAGTAGAAAGAGTTGAAATTATCGAAATATTTTTCGGAAATAATCAGTGCGCTAATAGAACAGCAGAAATATTTAATGAGCGACATGAGAACAGTTCGGGAGACTGGGCCAGTCGCCAATAAAAAACGCAACATTGAAAATCCCATAGGAAACGAAGCAATAGAAGTGGGGGTTTTAGGACAAGTTTATGTAGATCCTACGTTAAGTACCCGCAAATTGGAGACTGTGTGTGGTATTTTTCGACGTACTGTCCAACGGATTCTAAAGGCCCATAGTTTTCATCCGTATAAAATTCACCTGGTACAAAAACGTAATGAAGACGATTTTGATCGGCGATTACAATTTTGTGAAGATATGAGTGAACCGATTATAAACGATGAACATTTCCTATTCAACACTTGCTTTTCCGACGAACGTTCCTTTTTCTTAAATGGCGTAGTAAATCGTCATAACTGCCGATATTGGTCCGATTTTAATCCCAGAATTTATCATGAGGTTCATACACAGCAGCCACAAAAATTAAATGTTTGGGCTGGTTATTTAGTTGGATGGTGCCCCACCACATTACGCATTACGTGTTCGACAATATTTAGATCAGACGTTTCCAGATCGATGGATTGGTAGAAGAGGTGCCATTGAATGGCCCCCAAGATCGCCAGATTTATCACCTTTGGATTTCTTTATGTGGGGTCATTTAAAAACCATGCGTCACCCCATATAAGAAATCTCGACTCGTAGAGCACAAATAAAAAAACACTAAAATAACCCAAGCCATCAAAAAGCGTGAATCACACTTTTTCTCACTTTTTTTATCCATCTCGGGAGTGGCCAAGGGAACCCATCGGCTAGAGCCTCACTTGATTCCCAATGACAAGTACTTTAGACTTACGGTCACGACTATTGTGTAAAAAATACTCATCTATAATAACTATATCAAACTGCAACGACCACCAAACTGGCCTTCTTATGTAAGAAACGATGTTCCAAGTGGCGCTGGACATCTACAGCTGAAAACAATAAAGAAAATAAACTTACCTTTTGGTGTGAGCTCGTATTTTAATTTTAACGTCGACTACCGATATCAACCAAACGAGGGACGACAGTGACAAAATAACGACGAGTACATGCGTTAGGTACATGTAAGTGTGAGTAGGAATTTGTCACGGCGTCGCAATAACTGAGACTTTTTAATGACTATCCTTACAAGGAGCATCACAAAGCACCATTAACTTATCGCGATTTTGGTATTGTAAGATCATCCGCTACTGGTTTCGACAACGGTTAAGAAGATTGTGCATTTCCTTCAAAAAATATCCTATTATCTCACACCTACTCTTTCTTTACGGTCGGATTCGAAACGTTCGTCTGACGCTTGTTGCTCTGACGAAACGAATTCGCCAAATTTAGTGAAGTGGTAATTTATTATTCTCAGCGGTAACCCGCCCACTTGCAACCGCTGTGTTTAAGATTTCTAGAAAATATTGTACAGGGTCCGCCAAACGAACCTGATGAGTTTCAATATGAAACTACAAATGTATCTTTCAAGATATTTATTTTCATATATAAGTAATCGAAAGTGTATTACATGCCATTTTATGTATGGAAAATAACTTCGGTCAAATGATGTCCTTCACTGCGGACACACTCTTCCAAACGGGATCGCGCTAATTTCATTGCGAATGTTTTCCTTCAATTCTTCAATGCTCCTTGGGCTCGTTAAATATACCTTGCTTTTGAGATAACCCATAACCAATAGTCACAAGCCGTGAGATCGGGAGACCTTGCCGGCCGAGGAACATCTCCATTCCGCGAAATGACTCTTCCTGGAAACATTTCTCGCAGTCGAACCATTGTTGCTCGTGCTGTATGCGCTGTGGCGCCATCTTGCTGAAACCATCCAGTATTAAAATCTATGTTCCGTCGACGAAGCTCTGGTTCCAAAAATGTGTTTAACATTTCCAGATAACGTTGCGAAAAAATAGGGTCCAATTATACCGAACCGCGACACTCCGCACCAAACAGTAACCTTGCGACTATGAAGGGGTCGCTGGTGAAGTTCTCTCGCGTTTTCTGCACACCAGTAGCGATAATTCTGCTTATTTACGTAGCCTGATAACTCGAAATGCGCCTCATCAGACATAATTAAGCCACCTAAAGCGTTTTCATCCAAAAGTTCCAGAAGCTGGTTGCTTGCAGTCAAACGGTTCACGAAGTCTTCAGCTGTCAGTTCTTGAACCATCGCTAATTTGTAAGGGTGATAATGTAAATCCTTATGCAAAATACGCCGCACTGTTGTTTCTGAAAGCCTTAGACTAATTGCTTGTAGCCTAGCTGAACGACGTGGACTTTGCTGCACCGCTGTTCGCACCCTCTCAATATTGGCTGGAGTCCGAACTGTTCGACGCATTCCTGGTGGCTTAGCTTTCATTGCTGATGCAGATCGACGAAAATTTTTGACCCACAACTTAATTGTGTTACGGCATGGAACAGAACCATGACGTCCGACATTGAAATGTGTACGAAATAGACGCTGTGTAATGATCACCGAGTCGTGATTTTTAAAATACGTCTCGACAACAAATGCGCGATGTTCACTTATCCACAGCTCCATGACTACTGAAATGGCATCTACTACCGATGTGTTGCCTACTGTAACCGATGTTCTACGTCAAAAAACAGCTTCGTACTATCCATTCTGAAAACGTCAGGTTCCTTTGGCGGACCCTGCATTAATACCACGACGAAGGATGAGTAGAATCTGTCGGGCTGATATTAGTCATATAAATTGTGACGCTCTGTAATTTATACTCAGAATCTACTTTTTCACAGGCCTGATATCAAACACTCATTTCTTTCATAATATCAATCTGCGCTTATTACAACTAGTCCATCCGTAATGATTTATCTCTTGTTCGGTACGATAACTAATTATCTGCGAATACTGCCTATACTACGGCCAATTACCGATCGTAAATTCTTACAAACATAAATATATCACTTGTGGGACATAAAGAGAGCAAAGTCGGTTTAAATCACTCACGTTGAAACAGTAGCCAGTTCGCGGACGAAAGGTCATTAAACCAAATTAGTCTCGAATAAAAAAACGAAAGCCATGCTCGTCGGTGTTCTAAGCACGTTTGGTTGGCTGCATGCGAGCATCAAAGTCTAACGATGCATTTCACGGGTGTTGCCTTTCAGGCATCCTTCTCGACGAATTAGACCTACCGTCATCATTGGAACAAGTTGTCTCGAGCGAGGCTTATGTTAATTCTCTGGTATGCGTTAATTTTTTATTTTGCGCTGGAATAAGTTCCACTGGAATGTGGAATGTTTCGTCCTTCTCGAGGTCAGCTCTTATCTGGGCCTTATACAGAGTGAGGAGATTATGATGAGAAAACTACTTCTTAGCCTTAAAGAAATATCCTAGCTTTTTTCCAGCAGCTGCCGCTATTGACAAGATCAAGTTTGCGGCGATCTAGACTCCGAAATTAATGATGATGAAAGTATTGTGTATTGCTCCAATGATCATATAAGGAATATGAGAGAGACTTTGACGTTCCTAACAGAGCTTCATAACGTCGATGCTACTTTAGTTAGTACGGTACATCAATTCAACGACTTTCTTACCCATTATCAGCAAGGCTGTGGATTGATTGCCGTGCAGAAAAGGAGGTCGGTGATACATAAGAGGAACAGTGTTGGAGCCAGGACCGATCCCTGCGGAACATCCGCGTTGACGTTGTGGGATGAAGAGGAGAACTCGTTTGCAACTTATATCTTGTGGCCCGAGAGAAAGTTTACTCCACAATTGCTTGAGGTAAGCTAGGATGTCTCCTATGGATCACTGGTGGCGGAAACCATACTGCCTGTTGCTGATCAAGCCGTGAAGTTCGTCATTTATATAATCATGTATAGATAACGATGATAGCAAGGATATAACGATGATAACAGCGATATAACGATGACAGCAACGTTATAACGATGACAGCAACGATATGGCGATAACAGCGATGATATAACGATGACTGCAACGATATAACGATGACAGCAACGATATAAGGATCACAGCAACCATATAGCGATGACTGCAACGACATTATGATGACAGCAACGATATAGCGACGATAGCAACCACATAACGATGATAGCAAGGATATAACGATGATATCAACGATATAATGATGACAGCAACGATATGGCGATAACAGCAATAGTTTAACGATGACTGCAACGATATAACGACGATAGCAACCACATAACGATGATAGCAAGGATATAACGATGACAGCAACGATATAACGATAACAGCGACGATATAACGATGACAGCAACGATATAAAGATCACAGCAACCATATAGCGATGACAGCAACGATATCATGATGACAGCAACGATATAACGACGATAGCAACCACATAACGACGATAGCAACTACATAACGATGATAGCAACGATATAATGATGACAGCAACGATATGATGAGAACAGCAATAGTTTAACGATGACTGCAACGATATAACGACGATAGCAACCAAATAACGATGATAGCAAGGATATAACGATGATAGCGACGATATAATGATGACAGCAACGATATGACGATAACAGCAATACTTTAACGATGATTGCAAAGATATAACGATGATAGCAACAACATAACGATGATAGCAAGGATGTAACGATGACAGCAACGATATAACGATAACAGCGATGATATAACGATGACAGCAACGATATAAGGATCACAGCAACCATATAGCGATGACAACAACGATATCATGATGACAGCAACGATATAACGACGATAGCAACCACATAATGACGATAGCAACGATATAATAATGACAGCAACGATATGATGAGAACAGCAATAGTTTAACGATGACTGCAACGATATAACGACGATAGCAACCACATAACGATGATAGCAAGGATATAACGATGATAACAACGATATAATGATGACAGCAACGATATGACGATAACAGCTATAGTTTAATGATGACTGCAACGATACAACGACGATAGCAACAACATAATGATGATAGCAAGGATACAACGATGATAGTAGGGATATGACGATGGTAGTAACGATATAACGATGACAGCAATGATTCAACGATGACTGCAAGGATATAACGATGACAGCAACGATATAACGATCATAGCAACGATATAACAATGAACGCAATAATATAACGATGACAGCAACGATATAACGATAACAGCAATAATATAACGATGACGGCATGATTTATAAATTATAACAGAAGGCAGAGCTATAGGCCTGTGTATGCAAGGGTCGGTCTTTGATCATTTTTTGGGTTGAGTTGGACATGAGGAAACTTCCAGTTTTCTGGGAGGGTGCCGGATTCGCCAGATACATGATGATGAACGGAAGGAATCAAGTCCGGACTAAAAGCTTTGTTGATGTCGAGCGTCTTACGGTCTTATGCCTGACTCGGCGGCCCTTGGGCGTTGGGGGAGACGTCCATGATGTAGTTGGAATCAAAAATCTTGGCATGCACTTCTGCCCTAGGCTTTGAATCGGTTACAATCGTTCCATCCTGACACCTAAGTAGTGGAAGGCTACTCTTTGAGAAGTTCCTTCCAATCTGCTTACCCTGTCCCCAATTTTTACATCGTGTTGGTCTTTGGCATTGCGAGCCGCTTCGTTATATTTGGTTCTGGACTCGACGTCAGCTTGCCTGTTCTCTACAGTGCCTTGATCTTCTGCTGGCGAGCAGTGTCCCCGAATGTGCCGTAATTATAAGTCATTTAATAGTGTTTTAGATAAATTTTATATCTTCTATCTATCAATACTTCCTAAGCTTGATGGTAGGAAGTAGAATCGATATATAAATATTTAAAAAAGTAAACTCACCCATTATGTTGCTAAATACATATTAGATTGTATTGTTAGACGCAAGAACTCAATGTGGATTACGTTGCTGTAACTTCGTATAAGCTTATATATATATAGACCTGTATCTGCTAAGCATTAATGGATTTATTTTGTACGTACGAGTATACTGCTTGGTCACGGTTTTTTGTTTTATGGGATATTTTCGATAATACGATCCGTTATTATTTTATTCACCGTCGCTTCTAGCATGCATTCTGATAAGTGAAGTCGTAAATATTTTACAACTACCATTGAAATTATCACAAACACGAACAGCGCTGCCTAATGATTCATTTGTCTTCCATTTGACAATTTTATTTTCTGTAAAATTGTTTACTTCTGAATATTTTAAATCATCATCAGACTGAAATCGATGCATTCTGGTCTAGTCATTGGCGTTTTGTCGTGCTTTTTTACGATATTGTACATTTTTTCTAAAAAAATGAAAGCAACCAGTATTTCAACCACTTTAATAAATAGTGTGAAAATAAATAAACACACATTCCAACACAGGGGTTCCCCACGGATCGGCTCGGATATTGTTCCTCTTACAAATAAACGGCCTGTCCTGTACCATCAATCCGATCCACAGCTTTGCGGATGGCAGCACTCTGCATGCAGGAATAAAGAGTGACAAGCTGATCTCTGCCAGTTACCTGGAGAAAGTAGTCTTACTCAGCAACGATTGCCTCTGACGAGAGACCTGGAGGCTATCACTGCTTGAGGACGCAACAATCTTATACAGTCTAATGCCTCGAAAACACAGTACTGTTCCTTGACAAACAAGAAGCGTCCTGGCGCTCATCCGGTTTCGATGGATGGTGGAGTTCGACCAAAGAGCCGTTTTTCACCAGGTCCAGATCACCGAGGACTTGGTCTGACACTAAAGACTACTTTTCTCGATATGATCTCCTCAATTTGTACGAGGTCCAGATAAAACATAGCCTAGAGTGCTGTCCACATGTTTGACCGCTGAGTGAAGCTACTAATACTAAGTATACTTTTTCATGAAATAATAGTATGGGAGAGATTCTAGACTTTATTGATGCCATTACCAGTCGCACACAATAAAAACAGTGATATTAGCAGCTACCCTGCACGCAGCGTCTTTTATGTCCGTCAAATACTTCGTCTGGCTGGCATGTTCTTAGTAATAACTCGTAGTCCCAGTGTAGTAGGAGGTTCCAGCGGAATGAGGGAGAAAGCAACAACGGCGCCGGTGGCCAGAGGAAAGCCTTGCACTCGTAATACTCTCTGCAATTTTCTGCAGGGTACTTTCCTGTACATACGCACACTGGAGCCACTGGAACAAAGAACCTAAATTGACTGCTCGAAAATTCACTTAAATACAAGGTCTATAAATTAAGGAAAAATTTTTAATAAAATATAATTACAATTTCATATTGTCACCTCCAAAATAACAACCTGTTGTTATATACGTGAACATTCTGAACATGAATGAATGAATGAATCTTGAAATTAGAGGCATTCCGGCCACCATAAGGAGCCAGTGCATAGGCCCTTATGCACCTCTACAATCCTTAAATTACAAGCCTCGCCCTTTTAGCGAAGTTGAGAATCGCCTTGAGTACAAGCTCCTTGATGTCCTGAGGGTCCAAAGTAATGGGACCCAGTATAGTCTGCCTATAGTAGCTCAGAGCTTCACAGCGACACAAAACGTGCGCCGAGGTCTCTTCCTCTACTCCGCAGCGTTCACACAAGGGATCCTCAGCCACCCCCATCACGTGCAGGTGACGCCTTAACGTGTTATGGCCAGACAACAGTCCCACCAGCAACCTTAGGTTGGCTCTATTCAGAGATAGGCAGAAGCGTCCATCCTTGGCACTGGGCCCTTCAATGAGTTCTCGTGCCTGGCGGAGATGTCTGGAGATACTTCTCCATTTCTGAGAGTGTTGTCTTGCAACCCACGTCTCCATTTTCTTCCTAGCTTTATGCGCGGTTACTCCTAGAGCTGGCTCAGGACCAACGAGCTTGCTGGCTGATCCTGTTTTCGCCAGAGTGTCCGCCGTCTCATTGCCCCTTATCCCAGCGTGCCCCGGTACCCATATTAACGATACCGGATGCCTCGCTGCGAGGCAATGCAGAGCCTCCCAGCATTGCAATACAAGAATCGAAGTAATCTTACAGGCACTTAGTGCTTTCATTGCAGCCTGGCTGTCGGATAAGATTGTTGTTCTTCTCCTAGGCCCACCCTCCTCCAGAATGTGAGATACACAAGCCAGAATCGCAAAGATTTCCGCCTGGAAAATGGTGGTGTATACACCGAGAGGCAGAGATAGCCTAGTTCTAGGCCCAGCGACCCCAGCACCCGCTCACTCCGGTGAGTCCCCGTCTACCGGCGTCCCACTCCTCCCTCGTTGGATACTCCACAATAAACTTGCGGTTGAAGCGATATTTAGGGGTAATACGATCACCCCTGCTTAGAAGGACGGGGTCCTCCCTTTCTAATTCGACTAAGATGGCAGTATGCCCCTTGACAGGATTCCAGAAAGCCCAGCTGCCCTGACTCCTCAGTCGATGAGCGACTGCTCTCGCTTCACCGCGGATCACCAGATCTAACGGTGGGAGATCCAACAGAGCTTCCATTGCACTCAATGGCGTTGTTCGCACTGCGCTTGTAATACTAATACAGGCCAAACGCTGAATTTTATTGAGTTTGGCCTTAGTTGTCTCAGTTCTAATGCAAGGCCACCAGACCAGGGAGCCGTACAAGAGAGATGGACGTATTATCGTCGTGTAGAGCCAGTATACCACTTTGGGTTTAAGCCCCCACCTTACCCCGACAACACGTCTACAAGCCCATATCGAATTGCGAGCCTTGCTAACCTTGTATTCCACATAACTCTCTCCAGTTCAGTTTGCAATCCAGGATAATTCCCAGATATTGCACTGACTGGGACAAAACTAATCTAGTCCCAAAGAAGGTCAAGCCTTCTTCTCCTAGTGAATAGGATCAGCTCGGTCTTTTCAGCATTAGCAGAAAGATCGACTTCTCTACACCACGATTCCACGGAGCGCAGAGCGCCCTGCATAATTTCCGAGACTGTTCTACAAAAACGCCCCCTAACTACTATGCTTACGTCATCAGCATAGGCTTGCGCGTAGACGCCCATACTGCTGAGTTCGTTCACCACGATACACCGCAGTAGGGGTGACAGAACTCCGCCCTGAGGGCAGCCTCTAGCTACACTCACGGTGCAACTTACGTCATTCAGCATAGCTGTTGTTACCCGACCCTCCAGAGTAGATAGGATCCAGTCTATTAGGATTGGTCCAACTCCGTGTCTAACCAAGGCATGTCTGATAGAGTCGGTTGTGGTGCAATTAAATGCACCTTCAATGTCCAAGAAGGCCACGAGTGCCACTTCTCACATTCTGAACATAGTAAGGTTGTTCTTTATAAGGAGAAGGTAGTATTGGGAGGGCAATGCTAAAATATTTGGGTCTTTAAAAGCCTGGCTACAATCAGCCGCAAAATCCAAACCCTTGCTTATCCGGATGGCCTTCCTCTGAAGTAAGCATACCATCTTTTTGCTTCGATGTAGCAGAAGTCGCTAATGTACAAGAGGAATAATATAGGACCCAATACTGAGCCCTGTGGAACTCCCTTTCCTGAGACACCACTTTTCCCACCCTGTCTACCCGGGTTCTATTAGTCAAGTAAGATGTAAAGAGGGAAATAGCAAAATCGGTAAAATATTTGAGTTTGTCGATTAGGAGCTTGTGTGAAACATACCTGACTTTGGACTGCATGTTCCTTCAGTACACCTCCCGGAGCTGGCATCAAATGTTTGGTTGTGGTGACACGTTCTCAAGACACGTTTGTATCTCGACGGGAACAAAATGAAATCATGTCGAAGGCACTCGTAGTACTGGTTACAGTGTTTGGCTGGATAATGTCCTCTATCGACTTCACGGCAGTTTGGGGGAGTTACTGTGGATAATAAAATATGTCAACTACTAAGTATATATTTAAAAAAAAACATTTGTTTTTGTCTATATTTGGATTTGATCAACAGAGTTATTCAACTTGACCTATGTGTATGTGTAGAACAAAACTGATTTTTGAACCAGCTAACCATTGAGCTGAAATTCCGTTTGCGTGACTATACAAAAAAGAGTGAACTAATATGGCGGGTGCTACAAAATAGCGATTCATCATTTCCATAGGGTATGAGTATCAAATGAAAAAGATTGATGAGAGGAACACAATAAGCAAAGTGACGTCATTCTAAATTCCAATATGACGATCGCCGCAAAATATCGATTAATCATTTTATGATTTATATCTGTCGAGGTTTTGTAATCCAAATAAAATAAGTCTATTGAAAATATATACAAATTAAAACATTAAAGAAAAATTAGAAAACACATTTTTAATACAAATTTTTAGCCCTTAATAAAGGAACTGAAAATCTGAAAAAAGACCCGATTGGAATTATTTAAACGATAGTGAAGCTCCTTCGTTTTTTATAACCGTATCAGCCGGAAGGAAATAGGGTCGTTGATGTGTAAGAGGGAGCGAAGACCGATCGCCTGGGGAACACCTGCGTTAACTGATATTCGTCTTAGGGATCGGAAGCTGGGGCAGATATCTAACTGAAGTCATCCAGTGGGCGCTGGGGCTTTAATACAATGCGATTCAAAGCTCACCTGATGTTGGTGGTTGTGTAGTAGTAGTGGGATCCGGCGTCTGTGCGTCTGCACTTCCAGCTGAAAAAAAAAGAATCAGTTTCGTATAAATAAACAATGTGATCTTTAAATGATGAGAGACGTAAGTTCACTTACCTATCAAACTAATACAAAGCGCTGCAAGCAAAATTGTAGAATACATATGATATGCCACTGTTGACATGGATGACTATATAGATCGTTTTTTATAACCGTATCAGCCGGAAGGAAATAGGGTCGTTGATGTGTAAGAGGAACATTGTCGGATCCCTGGGGAACACCGGCGTTGACGTTCTGGGTTGAAGGGGAGGACCGGTCAATTACGACGTATATCTTGCGGCCAGAGAAAAGCCAGTCCCATTTTCAAAGCTTCTTTGGGAGGCCATAGGATGGAAATTTGCATAGTAGGGCAGCATGCCACAGCTGATCGAACGCTTTCGTGATATCAAGAGCAACGATATGAGCCTGGATGCGTTTACTCCACAATTGAGTGACGAAGCTAGGAGGTACCCTGTCAATCCGTGATGTACGAGGTAGTCCAGAAACTCCCGGTTTATGCACATCTCCATCCTCTTACTTGTAACAGAAAGCTTTTCCACGATTTAGCCATCGCCTTCCATGGTCCTCCTGGATCAGATTTTCTTGAGCATTATGATTGCATTATCGATTTAAAAAAGCGTCAATTAATTGCAAATTTCAGAACTCTCCCTCTTGACAAAGTAGGTGACGAGAATGATTCCATAATTTCTCAAGTCGGAAATAATTACCAAATTCCAAAATTTCAATAAAACTTCCAAATTTCGGAGTTCAAACTAAAATTCCCAGATTGAAAATATCATTTCTGTTCCTCCTAGACTAGAACAAGTTATCAAACTCAAATCAGACCTAAATACAAGGCGCTATTCTTCTGTCATGCTAGATACATAGTCTTAAATCCCTTTTTGGGGATGGTCATCGGCAAATTTATAGTTTTCTGGGAAGGTGCTGGATTCGTAGGATATCTGAAATAGACTCGAACGAGCTGGAGCACTTCTTAATTTGATATAATATACTAAGTGACATATAAATCCGAACACCCAGTTTAAATGGTTTTATTTTAATAAAAGTTGGTGAATGTATTTATCTTACTGTAAATAACAAGTGAAAAAATGTTCAGCCTTATCAGTTGGACATTCCGGTTTTTATACTGCTTTTTTTTAATTCACTAACGCTCTAAAAATGAATATTTCAGCCGCAGTAAAAAATCAACGTTGGCGGATTTTGGTTCTTGACATCCTTTACGATCGGTTACGATGCCTAGAGTACGGAGACCTGTACGATTTCGTCAACTTAGTGAGTTTGATAGGGGCCGTATAGTGGGACTTCGGGAAGCTGGACTTTCTTTTCGGGCAATTGCAGTTAGAGTGCAAAGAAGTGTAGACACTGTGGTTAGGTGTTGTCAGGCATGGCTTCGAGAAGGCCGTACGCAAAGAGCAAGGGGCACTGGACGCCGCCGTAGAACAACAGACCGTGAAGATCGCCGCCTAAGATTATTCGCCTTAAGGGACCGTTTCTCCACTACCAGGTCCATTGCAAATGAATGGTTTGCAGAACACGGAAGACCTATTGGCTTGCGAAGTGTTTACCGACGAATGAGAAGATTTGGCTTGTTTTCATACCGGCCACACTGGGTCCTCCCTTTAACTCGAGAACACCGACGTAATCGCCTTGAGTGGTGCAGACAACGGTCACTCTGGGATCAGGAATAGAACAGTATTGTCTTTAGTGACGAGTCTCGATTTTGTTTAGGCATGCACGATGGTCGTGCTAGGGTTAGAAGGCGACGTGGTGAAAGGAGGAATCCACAGTTTTTTGTTGAAAGGCATGTTCATCACACTGTTGGAGTTATGGTTTGGGGTGCTATAGCTTATGGTTCTAGGTCACCTTTAATCTTCATCAGAGGTAACATGAATGCGCAGTCCCAATAGACTTCTTTCAACATAATGATGTCACATTGTTACCATGGCCACCAAGATCTCCCGACTTATCCCCAATTGAGCACGTGTGGGATATGATGGGTAGGAGATTGCTCAATTTGCAACGTCCTCCTCAGACTCTAGAAGCACTTCGAGAGGAGTTGGTGGTCGCCTGGAATGAGATACCACAGGAGGACATTGACCACCTGATCAGAAGCATGCCTAGGCTAGGCGCGTTGGAGAATGCGTAGCACATCAGGGTGCATCCACACATTATTAAATGTCAAAGGGCTTTAAAGCAGTGCAATCATTTTGAAATTTTTATCATTTACTTATTATGCTTCATTAATACAAAATTTTATTAAAATAAAACCATTTAAACTGGGTGTTCGGATTTATATGTCACTTAGTATATTATGTACAAATCCACTGACACAGTAAATACCGACGATACGGACCAAAGTGAATACTGATCTGATATTCGTCTTAGGGATCGGAAACTGGGGCAGATATCAAAGTAAACGGTTTGGCATCTAACTGAAGTCATCCTAAGCAGTATCACAGTGGGCGCTGGGATTTTAATACAATGCGATTCAAAGCTCACCTGATGTTGTTGGTTGTGTAGTATTACTGGGATCCTGTGTCTGTGCGTCTGCACTTCCAGCTGAAAGAAAAATAATCATTTTCGTATAAGTATACAATGTGATTTTTAAATGATGAGTGGCGTAAGTTTACTTACCTATCGAACTAATACAAAGCGCTACAAGGAAAATTGTAGAATACATAGGGGATGCCATTGTTGACATGGATGACTGTATAGAATACTAGTGTGTATGTACCTCTGTATATATAGTTATCGGTATCAACGTAGGTTCTTCAATATCACGAATTTTCAGATTTATGGGTTATTTTGGATAATATTTATTCGACTCGCGGTTACTTCTTACATACATTGTGATAAGCAAAGTCACGAATACTTTACAACCGCTATTAAATAACTATTAAAATATTCCCCAACGCAAAAGCATTAGAATGATTCATTTCACAATTCAATTTATTTTGAGTAATATTTTTGATTTTCAAATTTTCTTCAACCGCTGTATTGATTAAATCTTACAGAAATCAACAACTATAACTTCGGGGACAAACAACTTTAAGTTTTTGACTATTTTATAGGATTTTTTATACAAGCTACATTCTTTTGTATTTTCACTATTTAATAATTACGAATATCCAAGTAATTTTTATCTATTGTTGTTTAATTATCATTAATGATGTTTATTGTTGAGGGTATATTGTATATTACAAAATTGACCTCAAAATCATTAGAAATGGTTGAATAATATTTTTTATGTGGGTGCGCCATTCACATGTACTCAAACGCGTGATTTAGTATACAGAGCATCAAAATGAAATCTGACACCTTCATTTAACGTTATTCAAATGACCTTTCTCACGAGACTTACGTGGTGAGGATGATTGTAAAGCTGTGATTGATTTGGGTACTTTTATAATTTTTAATTGAAGGTGAGGGCTAGATGTCTTGATGACGTACGAGGTTATCAGTTCATAAAGATCATGAAGCTTTGCCAAAGTTCAAACGTGATCGTACAGCCGGCTCTTGGCAACAGTGTACATATTTCAGAAATCGTGCATTAACGCTCGTGCGAAGAGGAAAAAGAGATTATTTACAAGCTGTTCAAAATCAGGATATAAAAAAGTGACTATTGACACCGTTGTTAAAATTATACATAAAATAAAATCAAATTCTAGTGGTACAGATGAAATAACTTTGCGTATGATACTACTATGTGTACCTGAAATTGATGTGTACTTAACGCATATTATAAACTGCTGCTTAAAGAGGGGACATTTCCCCAATCAGTGGAAACGCACTATAGTTATTCCGCTACCTAAGTGTTCTGATCCTAATAACTATGGTCAACTGAGACCGATCAGAGTCTACTGCCAATTTTCTCTAAAGTATTGGAACGCGTTGTTTTTATATTCTAACAATATTATTCCATCTAAACAATCTGGATTTCGACAAGGTCATAATACAGCTTCGGCACTCTGTGATTTAACAGACAATATAACAATGGCACTTGATAACCAAAAAGCAGTAGCTCTCATACTTTTTGACTTTACTAAAGCATTTGACACCATTAATCACTCACTTCTTGTATCTAAATGCAGTTACTATGGATTTTCTGAAAAACCTCTTTCGTTTATTCAAACCTACCTTGAAAATCGGTTTCGAAAAGTTCGTCTAAATCAACAGTACTCTACGGAACAAAAAATTTGTTCTGGTGTACCACAGGGATCAGTCTTAGGACCGCTATTATTTTCATTATATATCTCAGATTTAGAAACAGAGGTAAAATCATGCAGCATACAATTTTTTGCAGATGATACTCAAATTTTCTGTTCATTTAGGAGTAATGACTTGGAAACGGCAAATAATAAAATTAATCAAGATCTTGCCCAAATTGAAAAGTTCAGTAGTAGTCATAATCTTCGTTTGAACCCTTCGAAGACAAATATGTTGGTATACGCAAATAGAACAAAAAAGAATACCTTAAAAGGACATAGACATAGATTTAAAAGGTAATAAATTAATTCCTGTGGATCATTCGAAAAACCTAGGTATTATAATGGATGATGACTTAAAATTTTTTGCACACGTTAACTATCTAATTACTACTCAGTGCTACGCTATTCTCAGAGTTTTATTTGCAAATAAGGCTATATTACATAAATATGCGTGAAAGCAACTGTGTGTATCTTTCTTGTTTTCAAAGATATCGTATTGCTTAGTGGTTTACTATCCCTATTTAGATATTGTAACAAGAAATCGATGAAAATTGATAAAATGTATAAGTACCACCTCCTAAATCTGACTCATAACGTTCTTTATTCAAAAACATCGCCATATTTAGCAAACAAATTCATACGCAGAGGGAATATGCATCGTATTAATATTAGATATAGGGAGACTTTTTCAATTCCACGCCACGTCTCTATTTCAGAATTCATACATTTACAATGCGATCAAATCATATAATTCTTTAGACCGCAGTTTAAAAGAAACCAATCCATTATCCAAATTCAAGAAAAAAGTGAAAGAGGTTCTTCTTGATCAGCAGCGAAATCGATTGTTTCCCATAAGTCTCCTCATATTTTCCTTATGTATTTACTTGGATTATTCGTTATTGTATACAGGTGCCTATTAATTTTCAATAAATTCTTTTTTTTTACATCTCGTATTGTTAAGGGACTTAGATGGTAGAATAGATATATAATCTAAATCTCGCCTCCTGTAAGAATATTACAAATAAAAGGCGTTAATTATTACTATTATTATTATGTTCAGTACAACGCCAGGATCATAAATTTTAGAAAAATATATGTGCAGACAAGACTAGTTAAGTTATCATCGCAGCATCGCAGAACGCTCAAGTGGCACGTACTTCTAATAGCCGAATATTGCTAAAATATATTTATTATAGAACTGAAGAAACAGCGTGGATTCACAGACTTTTGATTACTAAATGCATACGGTTTCGATGATTCCCCACTGAGAGTAATACGCAGTTTTCTGATAAACGGATCCCAAAAGGTAGTCGTTGATTCAGAATTTTCTACAGTCTGATTGCCTCAGGAGTGCCTCAAGGATCAGTTCTTGGACCACTTCCCTTTATTTTCTATATAGCAGATAAAAACAGGGTTGTGAAATTTGGTTGTATTTAGTTTTTTGCTGACGACTCACAATTATGTCATAGCATTATTCATGAAAATTTAGAAATTTCGGCACAAATAATAGAGGACCTAAATTCTAATGACAGACAGACCATAGTCTCCGGTTGAATCCTTCTACATCCAAAGTTGTTATTTTTTCTCCTAAAGGTCTAAGATCCTTATTAAAAATAATTTGAATATTATTCTAAACGGCCAGGCTATTCAGACAGAAGAATCAGTTAAAAACTTGTGTTTGTTTATAGATGACAATCTCGAATTTGTTTCTCATGTACATCATTTAACTAAAAATTGGCTTAAATGAAGAAATACTTAATTTTAGATCCAAACATGTTATGTGAATCTTTAATAATATAAAAAATCACATATAGTGATTATACTATTAATTTCTAGATCCATTTTCAGCTACGTCTACAAAAAATTGAAAATTCATGTTGTGAATTGATTTTCAACTTAAGAGAATATGATCATATTAGTTCATGTTTCGAACAACTGGTTGAATATTGCAAAATTGTATAAGCTTCATTTATTAATGCTCATAAACTCCCACGTACTCCGATTCCTGCATTTTTGAAAAATAAATTGATATATCGTGAATATATCCATTCAAGAAATATTTGATTCACTGACACTTTAACTATGCCTCTTGACAAAACTTCTACATTTGATAAATGCTTTACCTATAATGCCATCAATCCCTATAAAGCATTACCATCGCCTAAACATTTTGATTTCAATAATTCCAAAAAGCAAATCAAGCACATTTTTCAATATTTGAGGAGTAATTTGAAGGCACTCTCATTCACAATTCTTTGTCGCAGGTCTTCTACTGATGTTGGATGAGTAGCATAGATTTTGCTTTTTAAATGACCCCACATAAAGAAATCCAAAGGTGATAAATCTGGCGATCTTGGGGGCCATTCAATCCATCGATCTGGAAACGTCTGATCTAAATATTGTCGAACACGTAATGCGTAATGTGGTGAGGCACATTGAAGATTTTAGGGTTGGTGTCACCCCCGACTAGGGGGCTGCACGTGTCAACGGGATTTTTTGCCAAACGTGGCATGAATATTAAATTAAAATTGCCTTCAATATTCTAGTGCTAGTATTTTCAAGGATTAAGCGATAGAATAACTGTAACATTATCCTGTATGACAATTTTTTTTTAGAATTATTGCAGTCCCCATCTATAGAAAATCTTCTTATAGCAACAGACTCTTGAATTGCGTAACATCCAATAGCTCAACTGAACAATTGAGTATTAAATCTATCCGTCACAACGCATTGCTTCCCGCAGAACTTCAAGGTTTCAAAGCTGATATAACAATGACTCTCAGAAAGCTTGTAACATGATTGATACAACTACTGTTCTTCGAGACACGATTCCAGCTTTGTTATAAAATCCAAAGTGGCGACCACGTGTTTTTTCCGTTGAAACTTAGCATATTGTTATGGTACTACAACTTCCATATTCGGATTGAATTGAATTATTAACAGTGCAACAGACTCGACAGTATTGTTGTAATCGGTGTACCATTCTTTGGATGTGCTCGTAAGTCTCTGCCACAAGGACGCTTGATTTAATCGAATCAAAATACTGGCGCTGATCATATGCCACTGGCATGGGCGCCCGCAAGAATCTTTCTCAGGGGGGCGATCATCGGCTCTTCGTGAAAGTGTACAAACAAAAAAATAAACATTATTGCGATCGAGGGCAAATGTTTGATGATCAAGTAGGCGCTGTAGAACGCCACAGAAGCATAGGTTTTCGGAAATGTCTTGCCTAACTGATTCTGCTTTATACTGCCGGCTTATGCTACTGCCCACCTCCATAGAAATAGAAAGTGATTCTGATGATAAAGTAAGAACGACTACAATTCTACGTACATAGTCTGATTATGACTACGAATTATTTTCTTCGTTCGTAACCTTGGTATCTGGCATAATCAAGTGATTCGGTGCCCACGCAAATCAAAGCAGAACGTTCGTTAGGTATTCGTTAGGTCGGACCGCGTTGCTTTTCGAAACCAGTTATGGGATGAATAACCAATATACTCGTTGATATATTTG